GAAAGTCATGTGATGACGACGTCGACAAGGGTGTACAAACGACGGACGACCACAAGAGTGAACAGACGACGGATGACCACAAGGGTGTATGAACCACAGACGATGACAAGAGCGAATGGACAACAACAAGAGCGAACAGACAACGATGAGGGCGTATGAACCATGGATGATGACAAAAGCGAAGAGACGATGGGCGACAATGAGGGCGTACAAACGACGGATGACAACGACGACGAGGGCGTACAGACGACTGACGACAACGATGACGAGGGACTACAAACAATGCACAGCAACGACAAAGACACGATGAGCACCCACCACCCACACACAGCGACGAGGCTCAATACCCCACCCCCACCTTCACCCCCCCTCTCTCTCACTGCCCACCAACCCCTTACCCCTCCTTCATTAACCACTTCCTCCCCTTTACTGCCCATCACCCCCTCACCCTCTACCTCACTGCCCACCACCCTCCCCCTCTACCTCACTGCCCACCACCCTCCCCCTCTACCTCACTGCCCACCACCACCCCTCTCCTTCACTGCCCACCACCCCTCTCCCCTCCCTCATTGCCCACCACCCCTCTCCCCTCCCTCATTGCCCACCACCCCCACCCCTTTTCCTCACTGCCTACCACCTCCCTCCCTCACTCCCCCTTCCCTTTATTTAATATTTGATGTAGTAATGTAACTTTATGTAGTTATATTGAATAAACTGTGTCTTTCTCTTACATAAATCTACTAAGTGTATGTACACTGTTACTTGGATATATGTATAACTTCAGATATATCTATCAAGTATATATATCCTGTTATTTGGATATATCTGTGGTTTTTACTGTGGATATATGTGTCTTTGCAAATATATAAATCAAAAGGATGTGTAAAGTGTATATGTACTGTTACTTGGATATATAACTTCAGATATATCTTCCAAGTATATACTGTGGTTTGGATATATTCTGTGATTATATGCAAGGATGATAATTTCACACAGTTCATGGGAAGTGGAAATTCACTGTGGATATATTTTTGCAAATATATATATCAAGAAGATGTGTGAAGAAAATACATATCACAATATATTGGCAGTAATTTTATACAGTACCAATGACAACCAGGCTTGTGCACATTTTCAGAGGCCATTTGAGAAGGAGTTGAGAGAAAATAGCAAAAAATCAGAAATCAGAACATGAGAAATTGGGTGCAACATGCACCTGATTCTGGCCATTTCCATTAGAGGTATGACAATACACGAGTTCTACATAGTATATAATATAAGGAAGTGGGTGACAAAAAGATGACAGTAATACTATGTAGATAGAGTAAACTGTTATTGTGAGAGCCCTTCTGATGGTGAGTGAAGACTTACCTGGCTGAGGGAGCAAGCTGTTGAGACAAGAGCCTTATAAGGTAGCAGACAGCCATACCTCGCTAATGTCACATGATCCATCCCAAAACAGTTATTTTTGACAGAAACACTTCTCAAATATTTACCATGCAGGATTTAGCAAATTGAGCCAGAACATTTTGTAGAGAATGCTATCAAATGAGCAACTACCAATTTTCTTGGTGGAAAATTAAGATCTTGAGGAGGAGTTTTGAAATTGGTGTTGCGTATGGTAGCACATTACGTGAATCAAAGCACACTCTGTGAAATCTGTATAATTGAAACTCCTTCAGATTTTCAAATCAAGTTCTGAAAACTTGCAAAAGCACCCTGAATACCAATTCAATTAAAATGTTCAGCTCAATTTTGCAGCAGTACACATTGCTCTTCCATTATCGTCTACTTTGTAGAAAGTCGCCCAATTAGGACAGCTCATGTGATGTTAGTGAGGTATGGCTGTCCACTACCTTAGAAAGGAGAGACAAGAGCCTTATAGAAAGGAGAACTCTCATCTCACTTGTGAGTTATCAGCTATAAGGGAATCTAAAAATAGATGCATAAGCTGTAGCAGGTGTTCCATGAGTAATAAGTTACGAGTCCTCTGAGTTTACGAAGAGACTCATTTATTCCCCAGGATCTTGAGACTTTTTTCAGCGTGGTAACGCTGAAATTTGACTTTCTCCCACGAAAGTGATTTCTTCCCACGATCAGCTGCCTGCTCAGCATTGACGACTTTGCCAGTCTACTCTACTATTTCTTAGTTATCACTTGCTTTTAGTCCTATCCATGTTGTCATTGATGTAGGTGGTAGCTAATGTATTGCTCTACTTGGCTGTCAGACTCTAACATATGAATATATT